AGCTCATTGGGCACACCGACGCCGTCTGGGATCTCGCACTCGTTCGGGACGAGAGCACGCTGATCAGCTGCGGTGCGGAAGGCATGGTGAAGGTGTGGGACGTTAGCGGGCCTTCTGGCGGCGGGTCGCTGAAGCTCACATGGGGATGGTCGGGATTGGAGAACTCGGACGAGCTTCAGGAGGACACGGACGTTCCGGGTGCCACCGCGGTCGAGGCACTCAAAGTCGATCTAAAAAAGGTCGCAGTCGCATATCAGAATGCGGTGGTCAAGATATTCGATATTGAGAACGGGAAGGAGCTGTCGAGGCTGCCGACTGATATCAGTTATGGTGCGACGCTGAACTGCACCGTTCTAGCTGCGGGATCTGACCTTCCTTGTTCTCGCAGATGGCACGCCAGCTACCCAAATAAATCGGATAGTGTCGCATCCCACCATGTCCCTCCTCGTCACTGCACACGAGGACAAGTATATCCGGATATTCGATATTGTGACAGGTCCGTTTTCTCCTCGCGTGTCATAATTACGCTTGGCTCAATGATGTGCAAAGGACAATGCACACACTCGATGCTGGCTCACCTCGACGGCGTCACGTCGCTGTCCATCGACCCCGCCGGCTTCTCGCTCGTCTCGGGCAGCCACGACTGCTCTGTGCGGTTCTGGGATCTCCTTGGCTCGCGCGCATGTGTGCAGGAGATCACGACGCACCGAGAAAAGGCGCGCGAAGGGGTGCTAGATGTCGAATTCCATCCGTCACTGCCCTTCATGGCCAGCGCCGGGGCCGACGGTGTCGTGAAGCTCTTCGCCTCGTCGTAACCCTCTTTCCGTTGCTCTTCGTTCGCTTTTAGTGGTGGAATTATTCGAGCCATAGCTTTGCTTATAATTAGAATGTTCATACGGAAATTTCTTTTTCGCTTCCTCTTCTTGTACATACCCATGTTTTTACGACGGTTATGAACGCAATTACTTATGAATAATCAAATGGGACCACGCCGCAGACCGTGTGGTACAATGTCGATTGGAAAGCACTACAGCTACAGGATGGCTAGTTATACAACGAATGGTTCGGGTCTTGCAAGAAGAAATAAATAAGTGTCCGGAGGGTTTTATATCTCTGGATTGCGGTGAGTTGGGCGGCTGGAACGAAAGTCGGCGACTTACGGATACGCATCCCTTGGCGGGCAGCCAAAATTTCTACCCCGAGCCCCTTTGCCTCCACCAGCGCTTTTATCTGTTCAATGATGAGAGTCTGGATCGGTCGGTCCGGGGCTCCATCAAGCGTGTCTTTGCAGTGAATTACGAACACGCGCACGCCCTCCAAGGCCCCTCGCACGTCGCTCGGGGGCGAAGCGACCGCATTATTCATCCGCTGCTTCTTGCGCGCTGGACGGGCGGAGGGGCTGGAGACTTGCGCGGCGTGGCGGACCTTCATAACCTCTGTCGCTAACACCTCCAGCTCGTGGGCCAGGTGTTCGGGCTTCAGGTGGCCGTACAGCGTGTCGTCGCTTCTGGAGGACGGCCAGGAGCATTCGATAAATATGGTGGAGAGCGATTCAGGGATTTTGGGCGCGGCGGCCCGCCAGACGGTGAGTGTCTGCGGGGAAAGGGAGAGCGTGTCTGGCTCGAGGTCGCCAAAGAAAAGGAATTCATGTCCGGTGGGATCGTAGCGGATGAAAAATGCCGCGGAGTCGTAATTGCCAGCCGCGTTGTGGCCGTGGCTCACGGGGAAGCCGCGCACGGAGACGTCGGAAATTAAGGTGGTGTACGCGTCATTCATGTCGAGGCTTGCGGGAATTATGAGCAGCAGCCAGGAGATGGAGATCTTGGCGACTTACACGGTGTACAAAAGCTTGTGGTCGTCGTCGTCGTCGTTCCAGGAAGCCAAGTTGGGCCATAGACGGTCGGAAAACACGCTTTCTAGGTCTGTGAGCGTTTGCTTCGCCGCAAAGAGGCGTTTTCGCGGTCCACTCAGAGAGCCAGCGGATATGACCAGGCTGTTGACGTGGTCCAGGTGGGCGTGCGTGATGAGGAAACAACTGTTCGCTATATGAGCTTTCTTTTTCGGGGGTGTTGCGGCTACAATCCGACGAACCGCACGAGCGAGTAGATCTCTGAGGCCGAGTACGGCTTTGTGCGCTCCGGGGGCTGGCCTGGTGAATTGAAAAGCTGAGGGTCGCGTTGAAGGAGTTTCTGGACGGCTCCTTGGCCAGATCCTGCTTGCAGTTGGGAACATATTTTGAATAAATTGATAGCGACGAACCTGCTTCCAATGCAATGATCCCATCCTCCCAAGGAGCAGCAGACGGCTTGAACAGATAGCTGCACCGAAAGCGAGAATGAGCGTGCCACGTGGCGCGTTGGAAAGCGCGTCGAAACGCGAAGGTTGAGGACATACGCCGACAGATTCGTCTCGTCCGGGCCGCCCCCTTCGCCCACCACCACCAGGTCAAACGACATCACAGGAATGGGGGGAAACGATCTCGTGAAGGTAGAGGTGAGACGATGGATAAATATTCGATAAATACGAGACGCGTAAGGGCAGTTTTTGGCTGGGAATATTAATGGCGTATACCGGGCGGTGCTCGTTATAAGGGTCGCTCAGCTCGTGTCAAGTTCGGGGCAGTGTCTCTTATCAGCTTAGGGAGCTGTCGACACTTGAAACGGAAGAAAGAGTTGGACGTGATTGACTGGCAGTCGAACAACGCGCCAGCCTCCAATGCAAGATGCATGCCTCCGAAAATACAAAGGACCGTTCCCCATGTCATTTGACTCTTTTGTTTTTTGCCTCAAGGGACTATAGCGTGCAATTTAGCTGTAATGTACCTGAACAAGAGCCTTAATTCAAACACAAAGTCTCTTATCAGCGGCGCGACCAGCACTCGGATGTGGTGGCAAAGTCACGCGACAAGTTGAATTGGGAACTCGATTAAGTCGCGGGAAGACAGTGAGAGGCAAAAGGCCGATTCCGGTCCAGACAGTGAACGGAAGTTTCTCGGGTGGTCGGCGTTATGATCCGGTATCGCCGTGATTTCAGTAAGCTTGATTACACATGACAGTTCGGTTAACCAACATGGGAAACGGCGAGGGCTGCTGCCCGAGAATTTGGGTGAAGACCTCCTCATGGACTGCACTCTAGAGCAAGCTACCGCACATAGTCGATGCGTCCGAGCCGTCCCCCAGTCCAATGGGCTATTCAGTCGGGCCACTCGCGTCGATCGCGTCCTAATCGAGGGCGACGTCCCTGCGGTCTATGCCTTGAAGGATGTCTGGCGGCAGACCTGTCGCAGGCGGGACAATCCGATTCATCAGTACTGTACAAGAACCGGGAAGGACTCCCGGGGGATGGTGCGCAGCCTCGAGCTGTTTAGCAGCCATTCCCAGCACGGCCACTCGTATCGCCAAACAAATTCCACTGACGGGGACAATGACCTCGCGGAGCGCCGTCATCTCCGCGCGCTGATCACGCCCGTCGGCATCCCGCTCACCACATACCCTAATACCAAGAGCCTAGTGAACGGGTTGCGAGCAGCCGTTCACCGTAGCTTCATTTTTCTCTTTCAGTAGACCTATAGCTGACACCAGCGCTTAGATCACCTCATCGCGTACGAGGCGGGAGTTCTTCATCGCAATGTCAACGAGGGGAACATCATCTTCGATGAGGTCACTCTGGAAGCCTTCCTCGTGAGCTTTGACTATGCCGAACTTACGCCCCGGGGCTTGGAAAGACTTTCGGCGCGTGTCCTGGACGCGAACGAGGACAAGTACACGACGTCTGATAAAAGGTTCAATGAGCTTTCAGTGCGTCGTCTCGTTCGTGTTTGTGTTGTTCACTCACGTCGTGCAGGGCACCTTTCCCTTTCTCGCCATCCAACTTTTGAGAGCCACACCCGAGTCGAGAGTCATCCACAATGCTGGGCACGATCTGGAGTCCGTGTACTGGCTGCTCGTTTGGATAATTCTCCGGCACACGGAGCACACGCTCGATTCAAATGCATGCCACGAGCTCTTTGATCGCGACCTGTCAACTGCTGCTAATCACAAGGACGCCTGGCTCAGCAAACCGACTCCCCTCGACGCGAACCACCCATTGTACATCGTTGCAGAACATTTGCGACACCTGGTCACTCTGCAAAATCCGGTAGTGCGACCCCCACCCCCAGCCATTCCGGGTTTACCCCCGATCCCATCCCGGCCTGTGGACCAGGCGGTTGAGATATCTCACGCACTCGTGCTCGCAATCTTCGACGCCGTGCTGTCGATGCCTGGATGGCCGGAGAACGATAAGGCCCGGCCATTCGTGGCCCAGGCACGAAGTCTCTCGAACTCGAGGGCTCGAAGGAGCGAAGCAAGGATACCGTCCTCAGAAGCAACCTCCCGACTCCAATTTCAAGTAATCTGAAGGCCAACGCCAGCTCAACGAAGCGGAAATCTTGGGAAGACGCCAGCGCGAGCGTGACCGTTTTTAGTTCTGCGGCGGGAAGATCCAACGAGAGTTCCCGGTCGAAATCAAGAAAGCTGCTGTTGGTAGCAAAAGATGAAGGACAAGCACGGCAACCTCCCGCTGCGCCGAAGCACACGGTCAGCCACGGCCCCATCGTCCCGCGCTTACCTGCGGATCTGTAGTAGGGTCTGCTGTATGTTTCGACCAAGTGTTCACAATCTTAAATATTTCGATCACCCAGATGGCCGATAAATTTTATTTTGAATTGGCGTGATTCTAGGAGCAAACAAAGCATCATATGCATCTTCATCCGACGCCCATCGGGGCTGCCTTGGCCGTCTGCGGAGTGTAGCGGACCCAAACTCAGAGCTTTTGCCAATATAAATCTCATGGACCTGAGGGAACACCACAGATAAGCGTAGTTATGTAGACCTACACCGACCCATTTCTGCTTTGCATTTCTCTTTTCGTTCCTTCCGAAATTCCGATTCGAATGAACTTGAAACACCCGAAAAAAAAAGTTTTCATCTCATTACCTTTAAAATCACCCGATCGTTAACGACACTATAGCTCAGTGGTAGAGCGTACGATTGCAACTAAGTAGCTGCAATCATATCGTGATGTCCCGTGTTCGAACCACGGTAGTGTCTCGTTTTTTGATGTTAAAAATTTGGGCCCAACCGGAAGCCTCTAAATGCCTAGCTTTCTTTTGAGTTTTCTGTACCAAGTCGAAAGGGGTTGGATGAACACAGAGCAGGAAGCTCGGAGGTGCCTACATTTCTTTGGGACCGACCCGATTGTTGAAAAGTCTCAGCGCTCGGGACCGGTCTTGACTCTTGAGAGCTCTTGTTGAGCGCGAGCTTCAAAGTTTATATTTTCAAAGGCCTGAGAATCCCCTTGAGCTCGAGATTATTGCGACGGCCCTCGAGCCCCTCTCCCGCTGGTGAGTTATCGCCCAAATGCCGTCCGCATGTGTGGCCACTGGCCTTGAGGGAAGGAATAGAGGGTCACACGACTGACGCTCGAGGCCCTCGACCGCGTTCACGGTCGACGACGGGCTCCTGCGTGCGGAGGAGCCCAACGATTTGGAGATTGTGGAGAAGAGAGACGTTGGTCACAAATTGGCAGGAACTCAGAAAGGAGTTCCCTCACGTGATGGCGACTCTGAGTCGTCCGACTCGTTCGAATCTTCCGATTCGGCGTCGGTGCTGTTTTCCTGCTCTTCAGTGCTTGCTTAGCATTTGCTGAAACAATCCGTTCCTAAGCTCTATGTAAAAGGTTCCTCCACCTGTCCAGGAACTGCATAAAGTACGGCGATAATGACCGACCCAGTTGTCGCGGAGACAAATCAGAGGTGAGTTGCCCTTGAGTTGCCCTGAACTCACACATCAGCCGATTGAACGCGAACAGGCTGTTCGAGATCTTCAAGAAAAGATTGCAGCCTCCGTTGAAAAACTTTGGCCCAATAGCCAAGAAGTTCGGCGAATGGCTCCAGAACGAAAAGGCATACTATCTCGAAGCACGGAAAGAGGTTCAGTCATTCATAAAAAACTGCTGCCCTTTCCCTGACGTCCATTAAGATCGTTGAAATACTCGTGGTACATTTTCTCGGGCCGAGAGGTTGAATATGGATTGATGAAGAGCGAAACATGATTACCAGATCGCAGAGACCACGCTCAGGGAATCGGTCGGACTCGAGGAGTATCGTTCACTGGCTGATGCATACACTCAACTCATCCTTTGTGTTGTGCCTTTCCGAGAACGTTTTGTCGAGCCAGAACTCCGAGGTTAGTGAAGCCATGACGGTTGCAGGCTGCCTCAAATTCGATTGTTAAATCTAGTTTCCGTTGAGAAACTCATCGCGAGTGTTCCGAACCCACCTCCAGCCGCTCCAGCCGCTCCTCAAATTCCTCCTCCGTAAAGAAATTCATCACATCTTTCTTTGTTTCTTTGTCTTACAAATCGTTTATTTTAGAGATCCCGTGAACGCTACGCCGTTCGCGCCGTCGACGTTCATAGCTGCAAGCCAGCAAATGCGCCCTAGTTCATCGTCGCTGGCTTCAGCATTGACTCCACCGACTTCCAGTATTGTTCGGGCAAATACTGCGCCGGCGCCTGTGAAGCAGAATACTGACAATCCTTCGGTAACGAGAGCAGACATCCCTTCTGAATGTACATAACAAGTTCTGTCCAGGTTCCGAGCACTCGAGCACTGTCAACTGTCCCAGGGCCTACCAACGTCGCCTCGGCTTCTGCAAGCAGTTCGGCGTCTGCGCCGGTGGCTAGTGGTTCCACGTCTGCGCCGGGGGCCAGCGGTCTCCCGTCTGCGCCAGTGGCCAAGCCTAAACGCAAGAAGAAGAAGAAAGAGGATTTTACCAAGTTACTCCAGGCCGACGTTCAGCTTTTTAATGAACAAAGAGGGACCGTTGCTCAACCTACTCCCATTACTCCCACGCCAGCGATTACTGCAGTAGGGTCTGGCCCTCCTTCTGTGCTGCCGACAACATCAGAGGGTGTCCCAACTACCACCCCTCAGCAGACGAATCCTCCCACAAATATCCATGTCTCGGCCTCATCTGCCGTGGCCTCCAAAAGTATTAACCCAGTGGTTGAGGAGACCCCAATCGGAGTCGAGTCGACTTCCGAAAAGCCCGAATCTGTTCCTCCCGAAGGGGCCCATTTGGGCGATACCGATGCTGTGATGGGTACGCAGGCGCAACCAGAGGACGTTGAAATACCCGATTCGCGTCCCCAAGATGCACTTGACCCTTCCGTACGTGTTGCCTCTGAAGGCCGACTTTTTGTAACATTTTTCCATTTCTAGAATGTTAATCCTTCAAACCCTTCAGTTTCAGGCGCCCCTCCTGAAGCGTTAACCTCCATGGATGACGAGGTCAATCGAGTGTTGCGCACATTAACGGATCCTGGGCCTTCTCTCGATCCACATCCAACAATAACAGGCGTTGCAATCTCACCCGGTGCCAATTCCCTGGCCATAAACTCGGACGAGGCAATGCCTCTGGCCTCCTCCGGCGTCGAACTCCCTCCTGATACAACTTCGATGGAGGGAATCGTGGAGACGTCGCAGACAAGTCATAGTGTACAACAGGCGGTCGAGACAGACGGTCTAATCGCACAACCGTCACTCGATAGTCCAGCCGCTTTTCAGGCAATCATCGAGACTATGGTGAATAATGTTAATAAACTTATCGCATCATCCACTGTGATTCACCGTCAGTTTGGAGACCTGGACGTCTATGCTCACACTGGTTTGCAGGACACGTCAGTGCTACCGTTGTCGCTTTCTTCGCAGCAGCTACCCACTCCTCCTGTCAGCGATGAACGATCTCCACCTCCCGAAGGTGCAGATTCGTTACCGCCAGACGAGGACACGCCGCCGTCGACAAGTATGCTGGACCACTCAATCATTCCATATCATCGTCCTGACTGGGACTCCGCCAGGAACCGGTATTGAGATGGCCACTATCATAGCTCGCCATCGCGGATTGGCCGCCGGCACAATAGGCATAAAATTTGACATCCACCAGAACCAGCTCGACTCGATCACCAAATGGAGCGACCGGTCAAAACATTCCGAGTGCGTTGCGTTTCAATTACTTTTCAACTCGTTAGTGATAGTGATTGCTCTATTTATCCAGTGACATCGAAGGGAGTTTATGCATAACGCTGCTTTGCTTTTTAGCGGCTGATATTAGAGCTCGGCTGGAGACATCGACGAGCAAAGACCTCCGAACCATTCTTCCCGACCTTGAATGCTCGTGGCCCAAGACTGGTACGCGATGTTGCCTATATAAGTGCCGATTTATTTACGTCCTCAAGGCGGCCTGAGTCTGAACGCTTTATGGAACGGCCAGCGCATAGACTTGCCCATGTCTCCGCCGTTTGCTGTGCGTAGTGAATACGATGAACATAGACGACACGTACTCACGTTTTGACAGATGCCATTGAATGGATTAGTCGATGTGTCCCCATTCTTGGTCTTGGGCCAAAATACTTTCCGCATCACACAAACTCGGGACATGTCCAACTACTGGCTGATCCTCTGTGCCCACCATCCTACCCCTGCTCAGATTAATGCAGTTGCGCGGCGCCGCCGCAAGGAGCGAGACTGGACGGGATGGCTCGAGAAGATCTCGCGGCCGCTACAGTTGCCTTTTAAATTACCTATCGAAGTATAGCGCCATCCCCTCTTGCTTTTTTTTTTTGACATCTGGCACACTGTATTATCTGCATATTTATCGTTGACCCATTTAATTTGATGCTGCGAGATTGTTTGTCGACAAGCCTCATCGATGAAAGAAGAACGAAAGATTAGAGAAGGTAGATCTACAGTCACGTAGTAATGAACTACTGGTCGGTCCCGCACTGAGATACCGCTGTTTCGACATTGGTGCTCGTCCGATCCAGCACACCACAGTTGCCTCGCAGTCCTGATATTAACGCCAGTTGTCCCTCGAATGCATCTGTTCCGAAATGTTATTGAGAAATTACCATAAGTATTTGCGGCTAAATAAATAAGCCATCATTGCGCCCCAAGCAAGCTGTTCAGCGCCTTTTGCACATCATAGCCATGGATCTCTAGCGCATCCACGGCCTGGGTGCGGCTGAATCCCATCGCTGTCAGCTGTTTGACCGTCTCGATATCATCGTCCCCCGCGGGCGTGGTCGTTCTTTCCGGTTCCTCTCGCGGGGGTGTGAGGAGTTGCGAAGGAGCGGAAGGCAGCGGCTCTGCCTGCTTCTTTTTCTTGCCAAACGGTAGTCGGATCTGAGTGGATGGTTAGTGCAACTCGACGACGGAAAGGTTATGTTACTCGGGTGAACAAACTTACGCTTAGCTTTGAATGACGGGGAGGAGCGTCCTTGGCTTTCTCTTCCTTCGACGACGACCCTGTGGAAGAGCGTCCCTTTGGCGGCGGCGACCTGTGACGTGGAGGCGGAGAAGTCGACCGTGCCGACGCCTTTTGAGATAGCGGGCTTGCGCTCTTTGGTGAGGGCGCAGACGGGAAGGGCTGCACAGCCGCGTCCGATGGTCCACTCGGAGAGGTCGCGGTCGTCGGCGAATGGAGGGATCCGCCAAGGTTCTTCACATCCGGGCTGGACTCAAACCCCGCGAACGCCTCGTCGAAGGACGGCCCCCCTGCGGCAGGCTGGGCCACCGCAGTCCCATTCCCGTTCTGCGCCGCTTCCGCTGTGATCGTGGGCGCTCCAAAGGCGGGCACCGCAGAGCCGTTGCCGTTGCTCATCGGCGACTTTGGGGCCTCGGTGGCGGTGCTCTCATTTCCCACGCTCGTAAAGATGCTGTCGAATTCGTTCTTGCTCGCGCTCGGAGGAAGCGGCGACACCGCGTTCCCGTTGACGGCGGCGGTCGGGGCCGGGGGGAACGGCGTCTCCGTCGCCGCAGATGCAGACGAGAAGTCAAAGTCATCGTCGAACGCCGAGTCAAAGGCAGTAAACTGCGGCGCCGCAGATGCACTGGCGGGGATCGTGCCGAGCGCCTCGTCAAAGGCATTGACACCAGCCACTTCAGGCTGCGCCGCGGGAGGGGCGAAGTCGTTACCGGCGGCACCGAAGGGGCTGCTGTTGGATACGGGCATGCCGAACGCGTCGGTGGGCTCGGAGGTGTTCGCCG